TAGATAGATAGATAGATAGATAGATAGATAGATAGATAGATAGATAGATAGATAGATAGATAGATAGATAGATAGATAGATAGATAGATAGATAGATAATCGATCGATAGATAGATAGATAAAAGGAAGGAGAAGGCGACAGAAGAGTTTATCTTTATAAACCCAAAGACAGGGCAAGTGAACGTTTAGCCTGCTCTCGCGCAAGCAACTCTTATCATTGAAACGGGCTTACTTCAGAGCTTACATAAAACCCCCAGTATTTTACCATTGAAAACGCAAGCTCTTTAGTTTGGCTGTCGATGATCTCTTTCACTTTTCCTGTTGAAATTTTCAGCGACAGGGCTCCGTTTCGTTTTGTTTGTTTGTTTTTTAAAGTTTTTTAAATGTCGTTGTTTGAAAACGACTCGGTGACAGCCTTTAAAAAGATCGTGTTGTGCGGGCCTTCTTTGCTGCATGTAGAGAAATGCGACTTGGAAATCTACCACTTATAAAGAAGAGAAAGTGCATTGAACGACACACTTTGGAGTCTTCAGGAGAAAGGCAAATATGAGAGAGTTGTTTTCTGGCCAGATTCTGTAGGATTTTGAACTCCAAAGCAAAGATTTTTAGAGATCTTTTTAAAAATGTTTTGTTTTGTTCTGGGTTTTAAAAATATATATTTCCCTCCTCATGTCATTCACTATCATGCTTGACAATCCAGAGAATGTACAGAAGCTGTACAAAAAGTAAAAAGAGTAGAACGCTCCTTCCTCCCTCCCTGTCCTTCTCCCCCTCCCTCCCCCTCTCTGCGAGTACGTGTACTGTGTGTGTGTGTGTGTGTGTGTGTGTGTGTGTGTGTGTGTGTGTGTGTGTGTGTGTGTGTGTGTGTGTGTGAGAGAGTGTGTCCCAGTCAGAGAGACAAAGTACAAAAACACAGAATACATTTACACACATGTTCACTGTACTGCTAGGCACAAGACAGCCAGGGTTACCTTACAAAAAATCGTAAAACACTACAAAAGACATGCGAGATGGACACCTATTTCAACATTCGGTACATACGTGCATTCCATGCGTGCACTATACATTATTTAATACAGTTTAAATTGTCCAAGACAGTCACCTGATATCGAAGAGAAATGCAATTACCTTAGAGATGTGAATGTCTTGAACTGTGTCATACATGTAAATAGACAACTTTTCCTTTTCCACAAGTGAGACGGAAACGTCAAGTGAATCCACACAAGAAAAAAAAAAAAAAAAAAGAAACAACAAACCCCCCCCAAAAAACAAAACAAAACAACAACAAACAAACAAACAAAAACACCCTCCCAAAAAAACAACAACCTACAACACAAGGAGGAAAATGGAAGCAATTGTTAGTACAGGTGGTTGTCTTGGACAGGTGGCCGTTAGAGCAGGTTTGGACTGTATCCCATCACATTGCAGGGGCAGCCGCAAAATTTGCATAATTTCCACTGAATGTTACAACTTGCTTTGCATTGAGTAACAGGGCATGCTGTGAATGGACAGTCTAACACACATAGAGCGAAATCGGTAAGGCGTGGAAATCTTTTCGTTATGCACGAATTTCACTATGTAGCCTACATGTTTTAAATACAAGGAATATAAATGTAGGAGAAAGAAAGTTTGGGACCTGAAAATCTGCTCACTACGTGTTTTTCTTTTGGCTATGTGCATGTTCGCTATGTGTGTGTTAGACTGCATGTAGGTGCTGCACGTCTGTTTACTAATATTATTATATGTCTATCAGGGTTTTATAATTAATATGGCAGTGATGTCTTTCGCATTCTGTCAAAAAAATGTTTTAAAAAAAAATACTTACATTAGCGTAGTAGTCCAGTTTCCTCCTCCGATATGTGACTACGAAAACGACGATGATAGCGATGGATGCCACGATAAACACAGAGCCGATGATGACGGCGCAGATCTCGCAGGCGGTGAGGAGGCCACAGCCGGCGTCCTCTTCCTCGTCGCTGTCGTCGCCGCAGTCGTCCCAGCCGTCACACGCCAGGTCATCGTGCACACAGCGCTGGAACTCCTGGCAGCGAAACTCTTGTGCGTAACAGGGGACTGAAGTGGAGATCACACACAGGGTTGTTGTTAAAAAAACAACCCAACAACAACTAAAACAAAAAATCCCCCCCCCCCATTAAAAAGGAGAAAACAGGAAAAGGGAAATACAGTTTTTGGGATAACTGGATGGACATAAACGTCTTGAACATCTAGTTCTCACTGTCAAAATTGATAGCCAACGAGGCAGGGGTAGGCCCAGAGCAACCTACTTAGAGAACTTAAACAGGGTGAAAGGGATATCAGGGCAACGAGGCTTTTATAAGAGCTTCCGAGTAAAGGATTTGATTATAATGAATGGAGAACCATGATTGCCGATGTCTTTCGCAATCTGGAGCTTGATGATGAAGAGGCGGGACCCTCGCATTTTACGGCCATCTCCAAAAGGACTGAGCCAAGTGGGAAATTCGTGTAAAGTGCCTTTCCCAAGGACACAGCATCGCAACGAGCTGGGGTTCAAACCCCTGAGTCTGCAATCTCACGATTACGGGTCCGGTAGCCTAACCACTATGCTACCGACGCCACGAGAGAAATGTTTCGTTTCAGCAAGCATTTTACTGCACTTGCAACACAAATAGGTCATATAAGTGCAGACAGACAGGAATGAAATCGTTACCATCATTCATCCTTCTCGTATGGCAAAACAGCAACAACCAAACAAATAAAACAAAACAAAAACAAAACGAAGCAACCCCAACCCCAACAACCCCCCCTACACACACACAC